TGGCGGCGCGAATTCGGCTTGTACGGCCTCATCACCCATGAACACGTCGAACCCGAGGTACGCCCCTTGTGCTCCCCTAATACTCAGAGTCGCTGACAACCTAAGCACAGGCAACGACAGGAAAGGAGGTACTGTTCGGATACGACGTCGACGGGCGACCAGCTCTCTACCTGCGTCCGAGCAGACAAAACACGGGGGAGTCGATCCGTCAACTGCATTTCCTGACGTGGACGCTCGAACGCTGCGTGGACCTCATGGGTCCGGGAGTCGAGTAAGCCGTCTCCCCGAGCGCGTAGCCGCTTGCCCGGCTAACGCCCAATGGCCCCGCTCAGGAACATCGCGCTCATGGTAGACGTCTCCGACCGGGCCAAAATGCCTTCCATCTCACAGTCCCGTGCGGTACGTATACATCATGTCACCTAAAGCTCAATGGCGACTGATGACGCGCTCGCCGGCAGACTGTCAACATTCTTCAGAACCACTGTGCGTCACTTCCGTAGCCATCATGGCACAGCACGTCTCACCTCTTCCGCCGCAGACCCAGAACGCCTCGGACGCGCCCTCATCACGAACGTACCCTTCCTCGTTAACGCGTTCTTCCGAATTATCACGCCGCTGCTTGACCCCGTCACTCGCGAAAAGATGCGCTTCAATCCCGCGTGCATCAAGGACGGCCTCTTTACGCCCGAGATGCTCATGAAAGAGTGGGGCGGCGCTCGGGAGTTCGAGTACGACCACGAGCAGTATTGGTCTGCGCTGGTGAAGATGTGTGACGAGAGGCGGATGCGCATGATGGATGCGTGGAGATCTCAGGGAAGTACGGTCGGGATCAAGGAGTGCGCTATAGACAGTTGGTGCGCGCGTCCTGGATCACGAGCGTGCGAGAAATGACCGAGTGAAAATCGAGAGATAGGCCAAGTGCAAGGGAATAGAGGACAGTAGGGGGCAAGGGAATAGAGAGTAGGGGGCAGGATGTAGAGTGCAGTAGAGCGCAGAGTGTACACACAATATCCACAAGCAAATATATTTCATCGTCTTCTACAGCCTACTGACAGACTCACTCCCCGCGCCCATTCCAGAGCTCCTCACAGGACACATCCCGCACCCCGTGTGTCGCGCCCACCGCGCCCTTGTCCAAGCAGCAGCCGCCGCCGTCGACCAGGACATCTACGGAAGCGCCTTCCACCGCTGCTTCGCAGTCCCCGCTGTGCTCAATGTCTCCTCGACAGACCGACACACCATCCGGGACATCAAAGCCACAGTCCGCCCGCGCGCAAGCATGTCCTCCAACTGCCCCGCGCACATGCTGATGACGACCGGCACTGGCCAAGCCCGGTCAGTCGTAAACGCCCCCTGCACGTCCAGAGACGGTCACTGCCGGGGACGTCCAGACAGCCTGCCGCTCATGCACCATATACGCACCGAGCGCGAGAGCAGCAGCGCACCGTGACGGCCAACGACGCTGACCGAGCCCGGTCAGCTGGCAGCGCACAGCAATCAGTGAGAGTGCACACAACACATCCGAATGTCTGAAGACCGCGCGCGCTGACAACAGCTCATGCTGACCAGGCCCGGTCAGCCGTAGACACCCCGCGCACGTCCAGAAAAGGCCACTGTCTGGGATAGCCCGCTGCTGATGCGCCGCGCTGCAGCGGGACACCGTGGTGGTCAGCGACGCTGACTGGGCCTGGTCAGCTGGCGACGGACGTGCGGCGACGATCAGCGGGAGCGCACACGACGCACCTGAATGTCTGCAGATCCCGCGCGCTGACGAGTCCCGGTCAGCCATAGACACCCCATGCACATCCAGGAATGACCATTGCTGTGGATGGCGAGACAGCCTGCTGCTCACGCGCCATGGCAGTGGATCACTGTGATGACCAATGACACTGCCCGGGCACGGTAAGTTGTCAACGTGCCGTGCACATTCTGAGACGATCGCCAGTGGAGATCGCGAGAGGGCGCACCGCCAATGCATGGGCATACACATCGAGCACCGCCGCGACGGCTAACGATGCTGACCGGGCCCCTTGACCTCCAAAAGCTTGTGTGCCACTGCGATGTGCTTGCGGACGACCTGCGCGCAGAAGGGCGTGATGGGGTGCGGACGCAGAAGATCGCTGTGACGGACAAACTTCAGAGCCAGATCGTCATGCCATGTGTCGGATGCTCCGCCATCGCTGACGCTGGGTGGCATCAACCAGCCGCTGTCGTCCTCCCCGCTGAGCATATTGCGGACAACGCACACGTTCGAGTCGCCCGGGACACAGCCGCTCGGCGCGAGTGGCTATTTCCGGATGTGTCGGGGCGGGCTCAAGCGAGCCCGATGGTGGTGCTGCCATCCACGGAGAGTGAGGCATCGATGTCGATGGTCCACAACATGCACATGAAGTTCTACACCGCGCCCGAGCCGCAGGAGGACCAGGCAGAGGAGTGGAACAAGATGTGCGCGCAGCAAAGCGAGTTGCTCGTGCAACTGCCGCCGGACTTGCAAATCTCGGTACTGTTTGAGAAGCACGGGCGTGCGGCGAGCAAGAGCATCTCGGAGGATACTAACGACACTGACCAGGCCCAGTCAACTGTCGGCGCACATCGGTCATCAGTGGAAGCACGTACATTGCACCCGACAGTCGCCAAGCTCTGTGGTGAGGCGCAGTGACAGCCAACGATTCTAACCAGGCCCAGTCAGCTGTCCATGCCCCGTGCACAACTAGGCATCAATTGCCTTGAGCGTGTTCCCTTTCGCAGCGAGCTGGCCATTCGAAAGCGTGATCATGCTCGCAAATGTCGGGCCCTGGCACCTTGTTCCGCTGACCATTCCCACGCTCCCATTGACAGTGATCTTGAAGTTCACCTCCCGGGTACCCGCGCCCGCTCACGTCGAGCAAAGATCACGGATGCCCAGTACAACCGCGTGCTGAAGCCGTCTAAGAAGCTGCTCACGAAGGTGCGGGGCAAAGTTTCTGTTGTGGCACCGATGGGTGAGATCAAGCATAAGGATAGTGAATACAATTGATGAGACTTACTGGGGGCAGCCCGAGAGCCCGGAACATCACTCTTGCCCGACGCAAGGACCAGCAATTGTGTCAGCCAACGATGTTGACCAGGCCCGCTCAGCCATCAATGCCGGTGACCAGAGGAATGAGGGAAAGAAATAGAACATGATTACCACTAAGTAAAAGCAGAATGGAGGGTAATGGCGAGGAAAGTAGCGGGAAGGTCACCGGAAATGAATCATACAGTGTATATATATACACACATAACACGTATCATGGCCTCGGCCAGACAATAGCCAGCAGTACAAAATTCACATGGGAAGTACGTAATCCTGATCATCCGGTGATTGCGACAGCCTGCGACTTCTTGGAAGATGCGACAGAGTCGATGCCTGTCTCTCATGAAAGCAATTTCACAATTTCATAATACCTATGGTTACCAGTGCGCGGCCTCTCCAAGGGTTGGTTCGGTCCAGATTTGGGCTTCTGAACCTCCAACGAGTTTGTGAGAGTTGTCAACCACTGGGGACTCTTGCTGCTGCTCATCGCGGTGGCTGACACTGGCTGAATTTGATCATGGACATGCATACCAGACATTCACAACAATTTCTCGACTTGCACTGCTGCTGATCACCATGCACCATCTCGCTCGCTCACTCGCATGCTTGCATATTTGCAGCACTGCAGCGCATTTTGTAGCCTTTTTGTGGAGCACGCAGTTCTCCATGCAGGGATGCACGTCTGGTCTGAGGACGGTAGATGCCACGGCGACACACGAGAAGCCAACGCGAGCGCCCGGGTGAGATGCGCATAGCTCGATTGTTGCGGAATGCTACGCGAGCAGTTGTGTTATGTACGCGGTGGAGCCGGGTTGCCATGATGCAGGAAATGGAGTGTCCGTGCGCGGGTTCGCAACACAGCAGTCGCGCGCATTTCGACCAGGGGACTCACCTACACTCGTTGCACATCTCGACGGCATCCTCTGCTATCGCACTAGAACCGCATCTTAGCCTGAGAAGCCCAGGACCTGCAGGTGATGCGGTCACTATACGACTTCAATGAGAATATGTACACAGGCGGGCGACTGCAGCAACAACGCGAGATGACGGACGACGGACCCATGGACCAATAGAAATAATAATATAGTGCAAGCGTTCGCACCTTTAGCTGACAACAAATGCACAAGAGACAACGACGGGATGTGGGCATGGCTACAGACGGTCGGAAGTGCGCAGGGAGTTGGCGGCCGAACATTGAGCGCGTGCAAGAGAGAGGACCGTGACTGGGTCCTCCCGCTGTTATTGCGGCGACGAGGGTGCGCATCGCAGCGGGATTACTAGAGGTGGCACACAGCACGCATGTACTATATCCCGCCGCCGCTAGGATGTGCGACCAACGTAGCCTGACAGTGCAGGCATTGTGGCCTTTGCTATTCCCTGCATCCTCTGCCGCAGGCGTAGTGGGGTAACTCAATGGCTGCCGAAAATACGCCCTCGTCGCTGCTCTGGATGCGGGGACAGTCATCTAGATGTCAGATTGTCGGCTGCGCGCGTGCTGTGCATGCTGCTCGGCATCGTTATTGTCGCCGCTGCCATATTCCGCCTCTCGCCGTATTTTCCCGACGGATGGTGTCTGACCGGGGATGCAACGTCAGCACTGGACCTGAGCGCTGGAGCAGCCTGCGCATTGCTCTGGCACCCGACGCGATGCACACTCCCCGCCCTCACAATTCAGCCGAGGCACGAGCCGTAGCAGCGGCCAGCTCGCAAGACACATGGCGAGACGACGGCAGGCCGGCGTGCGTCGCGAAGAGGACAGCGTGTCGGGCGCATACGCGAAGAGTCAAGACGCCGATCACGCCGCACGGGGTGACATGAACCATGGTGACAGGCACGCGAACGGCGTAAATATGAAGATGCGCGGGCGTGGGCGTGGGTACGGCATTGATTGTGTGGGGACACTGCATGCGATGCAGGCGTCGCCACCACAGCCATAAGGGTGGCGGACGATGCGGGGGCGTTGTGGCCGGTAGATCTAGGCGGTGCGTCCGTCCGCGCGTCTCCATGCGGGGATGCACGTCTGGTCTGGTCCGATGGTGGAAGACGCCGTGGCGGCGCAAGCCTCACACCGCGCCCGCGCGACGTGCAAAATGCGCGTCCTCTGCCGCGCACACTGCGCCGTGCCGTAGTCTCGCTCGCGACCGGGGACGCATGCAAAGGAGGACTGTTGGTGCGCCCCCGCCTCCCGGGGCCGTGCGTGGACGTTCGGACACGAAGAGCCCGGGCCAGCGGTCATCGCGCGTGCGGGCAACGCGCGAACACCGTGCTGGGCACCGAAAATCGAGAATCGAGAATCTTTCTCCCGGGAGCACCCCCGGCCCTGCGCGTGCGTTGCCAGGGGGGTGTGTCCGCGTCATGCGCGCGTGCGAAACGCACGCGTTCTGCCGTCGGCGGGTGAGTTGCGCTGGGGTATGGAAGACGCGGGCGCCGCGCGCGCAGAGCTCGCGTGTTGCGGGAGGCACGATGGCTACGCGACCGGCTGTGTTGCGTCGTCAGCGGGGCGCCGTGATGCGGGGAGGTGTGCGTCCGTGCGTGGGTCCGCGACCGGAATAATAGCGTGGGAAGGGGGCTGCGGGGAGAATATAAAGATGGTCGCGGAGGGGAGTGGTGGCCGTCGTGCTGCAGTCGTTAGTGTGTGGGTGGCGACTCGTGTTGGGTTAGCTCGAGTCTGGTGTCGGTATGTTCTGGTATGAGTATGCCCGCTATCTGTGCTGACCGTTACTAGTCTGTAGGTGTGGACATTGTACTGTACGCGAGATGCTCACATTTTATTGACCGGAAGACGGCGGGCGTGCGAACGTCCGTAGCGTGCGGGTGCGGTGTGTGCGTAATGAGCGACTTCGCGCGTAAGGGATCAGCGGTGCAGCTTGCGGGCGAGAGCGGTTGATGACCAGATGCTAGTGAGATGCCGCGAGCGAGTAGTGAGGGGCATGCGTGATGCGGATGCGAGTGTGTATGGGCCGCAGGCTGCAGACCGACCTGACTGGAGAAGGCTGCGGGAGGGTGCAGCCGTGGCCGCACAAGTTCAGAGTTTGGTGGCCGCTGTGAGTCGGATATCCGTACGCGCGCGCTCAGACGGGCAGCGGGAGCGTGAGCGTCAAGAGATCTGCAAGGCGCGGTCGTCAGATACAGCGTCCAGGACGCGCGATCGGGACGCACCGTAAACCAGCCGCTTGCACACAGTATTGACTAGGCAACGACGGGATGTGCCCGCGTCCACAGCGCGCGATGGGGCGTGCGTACAGCCTCGCGCGCAAGAGACCGGCTGGTCGGGGGAAGAGCGAGCGAGAGGCCCGGTCCACGGACGCCTAGTTGGCAAGTCCAAAGGTGAGAGCCGAAAGCGGGCGCGCAGAGTGGGTAAGGCTGGCGAGGATCACGCAGCATAGAGACGGCGTGAACGCGCGAACAGGCACAATCGGCCATACAGCACGTCGACGAAGTGTTCCTGCGTCGCACAGGCGGCACACCTGGGCGATGGCGCCACAGGCAGCGGGGGAAGCGGGGACGGGCGTAAGGCGAGCGACGCACCGTGAACGTGTTCGCGCGCGCTGAGGACCGCGCGCTGACCTACCGCACCGCCGCGCCGCCCTTTGCGCGCGCTGAGGACCGCGACGTGCACTTACCAAGCTGTGCGAGTCCGGGGACGACTTGAAGAAGCTGGCCCGCGGCTCGTCAGAGCAGCCGTGCCTCGCTCGACACAGTGCGGACACTTGCAGCATCGGCGGCAGGTCGTCCAGGTACCTGCCCCGCGCCCGGCGTCAGCGCGGCCACGCCCTTGGCCCTGCGCAGGCCTCGGCTGTGTGCAAGAGGGCGGGACGCACCAATTCCTGGGGAGCTCGACGGGCTCTGCGGGCATCCCGCGCACGGGCGGCCGCTTCATCCACACGCGCACCTGCACGCTGCAGTTGATCTTTGTGCCTGTGTCGCGGTCGCGCAAGTCGTACGCTTGCGAGTGGCGTGGCGCATGCGTGTGTGAGAGTGCGGGAACGAAGGACGAAGGGGCGCATGCGGAATGGTGCAGTCGATGATCCGGAGTGCAGCGTGAGAGGCGGCGCGAAGGCGTGTCTGCGTCAACGCGATCGACCGGAGGGAGACAGCACGCTGCGAGCTGGGACGCAGCAAAGAGATGCAGCGCGGACAGACAGACGTCGATCGAGGCGCGTGCGGCGTCGCACTGTCGTCAGCGGACTGCAACAGGCGCCCATGATCGATCAGTCGACGTCAAGGACCGCGCCGGCCTCGGTCTCTACTCGCTTACCAGTTACCTTTGTCCGTTACGCGCCTTTGCAGCAGACATGTCCGCCGAGGACTCACAGAAGTGCTACGAGCCGCTCCCCGTGCCGCATATACCCGACAAGCTGTTGTCGTTCCCGCAGGAGTACACGCTCAAGCCTGGCCAGCAAACGCCGTTCGATGAGGTCCTGCAGCATTTCCAGGACGAGGACTACGTGCTGCCGAATGTCGAGGATGGGGCTCTGACAGACGAAGAAAGGTTCTGGCTGGTACGTACGTCTGCTCCAGACGCGCCGCGGGGAAACGGTCCAAGCCGCCGATTCAGGCGTCGACTAACTCATCTCAAAGTCGTACGAATGCATACATAGGTATGGCTCTTCTCCAACAACACGACTATACCGGGATTGCATCTTTCCTTGGCTGTTTAATTTTCCAATAGCTGACTTGCCCACAGATATCTTCGGGCGGTCAAGTGGGCATCCTCCAAGGCGGCTATAAAGCGACTCGAAGAGACCCTCATCTGGCGGCGCGAATTCGGCTTGTACGGCCTCATCACCCATGAACACGTCGAACCCGAGGTACGCCCCTTGTGCTCCCCTAATACTCAGAGTCGCTGACAACCTAAGCACAGGCAACGACAGGAAAGGAGGTACTGTTCGGATACGACGTCGACGGGCGACCAGCTCTCTACCTGCGTCCGAGCAGACAAAACACGGGGGAGTCGATCCGTCAACTGCATTTCCTGACGTGGACGCTCGAACGCTGCGTGGACCTCATGGGTCCGGGAGTCGAGTAAGCCGTCTCCCCGAGCGCGTAGCCGCTTGCCCGGCTAACGCCCAATGGCCCCGCTCAGGAACATCGCGCTCATGGTAGACGTCTCCGACCGGGCCAAAATGCCTTCCATCTCA